AACCACTCTTTAGTTTACGACATTAGTGTGAATTCGCATCGTGCCGTTTAACAACGATGTGCATGACGGGGAGGGTATCGATAAGTTGACTCGTATCCCTTCACGCTTCAGCAGACCTTTTTTATTAACTGTTATTTCATTCCAGTATTTTGCATGCTTGCTTTTTACGATTCTGTCAGCTACCATCGATCTTGGCGCTTACTATTTACGTCTTGGCATTTGAATCCTAAGCGAAACTTGAAGTATATACTAATAGATGTCGGCTAGGCTTTTTCCAACGTTAACGTATCCATGATATTCACTTGTTTCGTCTGAAACCGCTTCAACACGGTTATTCCCTTCCTACTAACAACTAGAACGCGATTGGAATATCAAGATTCCCGGCTACGTTTCAAATGACGCATCCCCTAAGCGAGCGGCGGTGACCGAGGCGCACAAACAACGAATGGCCCTCATCAAGAAACAAATTAGGAAAATGTGAAGCATTACTTCTGGTTGCCCTTTGTACAGCCCTATCACCTACCTATTTTCTTTGCAAAATTACAGCTTCCTATCGAGTTTCTCCTTTTCCAGGCTTGTAAACAGATTTATTGTTGAGGACAAATTGTTCACATTTCGATCTTTGACCACTGACAGTCGTCATCGTCGTACAGCGAGAGACAGAAAATGAACTTCGGTGTCCAGCTCACAATGTACGCAGTCAGGGATGAAGTAGAAAATGGATAGGGGGTGGTGCCTAATCAGAGGGGCAAAGAAAGTGAACCTTTAAGATCCGCCCACTGAATGCACAACCTAACTTCGCATACATTCTTTTGTTAGCATTCTGACTTGATAAGAAGCGTAAACAACAGCAACGCTAATGCTTTCGCTTCGGAGCAATGTTGTTCAGTGTCTCCAACCAACTAGTTATGTGTATATTCATTCATTGACAACAGTGCTGGAATTCATTGCCGCATCTAATGCAGATTTGTGTAGTGCGCTAGTTATGGGTTGGCAAGTATACATTTTTGTAATATTTTCACATACGCCTGAGTTAGGATAGTGTGGAAAACAAATCACGGTACAACAGTCTTTAGGAAAAGATCCATGATTTGCTAGAGGCTACCGGTAGGGTGCATAGGGCAAAGCGTTCAGCTAGCTAAAGGCTGTCTCGCAAGACAGCGGACGGTGTGCGAAAACCGCAATCCATTGGCGGTAGATGTCCAGGTCATCGGATCATACGCCCATTGGACGGGGTCAGATGTCCAATCGAGACGGTGACCACTATCACGATCAGGAAGATGTACTTCCGCTTAGTTGGTTACCAATCCGGGTTCCTAACCAAATCCCCTGGTAGAACGGCCATTGGTTCACGGACCCGGTTGGTGGGAAAACACATCAGGCACGAGAATGGAGTGAGTAGGGCTTCCTCAGCAGAAGCTATTTGAGACGCTTGGTCGCACGGGAACATTTCGCAAGGTGCAATGGGGGAGTGGCCAGCGGTAACCCGAGGCACCCACCCCGATCATACTGAAGCAAATAAATAGGTCCCATCAATAAGCAACCTCAAGATTAGGAGTATGGACTCCGTATATCAAACTATAGGAACACCTTGGTAGCTCCATTCAGTTCTTTCAATAATGATGATGGATGCATATTTACAAAATGGCGGTAAAGCTGTACGTTCCAACACAATGGCTTTTCTGGTTATTTCCTGAGATGATTATGTGTGACTCAGATGATTTCAAAATGTCTGCATTCTTCAGCAGTAAAACGCAGTGCATCAAAGAAAAGCATTAGGCAGCAAGGGATCCATAAAGCGTTTATCACGTTGCCGAAATTTGGCTGTCTTAAATTAGTCTCCTCGGACTATTGTTCACCTGAAGTAATGCGATCCTAACTACACTGTGTATGTTGATCGGGGAATTTCACATATTTGTGAGTGGGCAACTGGCCGTGAATCGTATAAAATCCGTAAATTGGTATCCGATCTCCGTCAGAGTGTTCAGTTTTTACAACCATTAACCATGCGCTCTCGTGCGCCGGTTTTGGTTGCCCATTTGGATAAAAGAGCGTCAGAATGTACATCATGCGTGTAGAGTTGAAGCATTTTAACTCCCCGAAAGTGTAAAATATCGGTTTACAAGTGGAAACAATTTTTTTTTCTGACGAATACAAAATCAACAAAGGGGTAAATATAACTCAGCATTATTGTGATTCGGATAGTTCTTTGCGTAATTCCAGTAATTGGCGTCCCAATCGGTCGGCTTGCTTTATTCGCATTGACATCTAGGACAAAAACAGTGGATAATTCTAAAAGTGCAGTGAAAAACTGAGATATCAACTTCGAAGATGGCACTACGAACGGTGGAATAACAAATTTTTGTTGATGGCTGGAGCTCGGCACCTCTGCTTGCGACTAATCTATGGTAATTGTCCGCTACATTTCATGAAAGTGTTAATCAACAAGTGGATAATTGTGAACGAGATTACTCGTGGTGACACCTATGCGAGGAGATTACGATCATTAGGACTATATTCTGCTCAGGACCGCCAGATTCGGGGAGACTTGATTTTGACGTATCAAGTACTGCAGAACCTAAACCATCCATGTCAGCAGCTGCTCATGTTATCAGACAATGTTCACCTAAGGGGACACTGTTTCAAGCTAATGGTTTCAAAGTGTCGACTGGAATGCCGGCGCCAATCTTTTGCAGTCAGAGTATGCAGTACTTGAAACACTCTTCCATCTCACGTCGTTTGTGCACCAACTATTGAATCTTACAAGCGGAGACTCGACGATACCTTGGTACACCTCACATTCCTACACCACTAAAAACAAACGCGAATTCATTGAAGCCCACGTTCTCTATAATCTCCCACCTGGAACTGTGTGATTTTTTTCGTCGTGAAACGATTCAATTGTGGAGACAAGAGAAGCATGAGCTTGTAAGTAATTCCCATGAAAAAAACTTTGACTTAGTACAAAGAGGAAGCGATACGTTCTTAACCAATTCGTAATTCATAAGAGTATCGTGGGAAACTCACTTCCTTAATTCCTTCTTGCTCCAATTTCAGTTGATCTTCGTAAACATCACATTGCTGTTGCAGTTGCTTGATGCGCTGTTGAACTTTCCGAGCGTCCGAATTGAAAGCTTCTATCTCTTCCATTGTGGACTTCTCGTTTGCTTGGATGGCCTGTTATCAAACAGTAGATTCCAGAAAAGAACCGAGGTCGGTATTAATTTTCAACCAATTGCTATAAATGCAGCACTTACAGGTTTAAGCCAGAACATATGAGTGACTAAAAAAACCGGAGGCCTCTAACGCACTGAATTGAAATCATTTTCGGGTAACGCAATATTAGAACAGGATAATGGCATTTGTGATGTGAACTAGAAAACCTGAAAAGAATGAAGGTTTCTAAAGAAACAAAGTGACTCAAATACTCTGTTCACACGAATGGATAAATGTGCAAAGTTTGAAATACTGACCTTCTTCTTGTTAGCTAACAGTAACTGACAGCGCATCAATTCACTTTGCAAGTCCATCAATGCATGTGTTAACTCATTCTTCTCTGATTGTACTTCTTCGAACTTCCGTTTGATCTGTTCCAGCTCATTCAATTTTTCCTAAATAAGAGAGAAGAGCACGTCTTGAGTTCAGTAGGATAAATCGATTTATAAGGTTACCGTATAAGTGAACAAAATGGTTATGACAAACGTTGTCAAGGGATTATTCGATCGATATTCGTGTACTGAGAATAGCTCAAGCATGAACGCATTGTCAGCTGAAAGCCGTTGTACCAATCCAGCGGATTGATTGCGGCAAAATACATAGTTACTCAAGATGATTACTTCACAAAACAGAGTTGGCAAACCGGTTCTGTCTCACACACGATACCTACAGTTGCGGTGACGCATACACATGCAGAACAAACCGTCAGCTCTCATGTTTGACCGAACATCTTCAAAAGAAGTTGGTGAAATCGATGACGCAACCGATCACTGATAGTCAAGTGATTGCAATAGATTCGGGGTCATGTGACGCAAAACATCTCATGACAAGAAGATAGGTAGTTCACGCCAATCAGTCTTTAAAACCACTATTACACAATCGCAATGCTAAGCTTTTGGCAATTAGTTGGGCACTGTTTATTCCATTACATCACTCGACCTTATGCGCACAAAAGTTTGATACAATCAATCCACTTCCGCGGGGTTGACCCTCCGCTTCTATATTTAGTGTGTTCCCGGTGAATGATGCGCAATCCACTGCCCGAGGACAAGAGTGTTATTTAAATTTGTTGAACTGCGATGACACACCTATGAGGGATGCTAGAACATGAACACTTTTCTGAATGGCAGAAGCCTAACAGAGACATTGTACTTTACACAACTAACATAAACATCAGTTAGCCGGTTCTCGTGGTACCAAAGTTCCTGGGGCAGACGATTGCTATCATTTTTAACACAGAGGGCTAGGAGGCTCGAGTCAGTGAAGATCCAGGCAAGTTGCAAGCTTTTCTGGATAGCTCGAGTGCCATGTTCGGTATGTGTTTGACACCTTCAGTATAAAATGTTACTACAAGACTGGGTTGGTCCAGCACCCAGCCTCACTCTAGCTGGCGAAGCAATAGAGCAAGTGGATAAGTTTTGTTATTTGGGCGCATCACGGATGAAGTGCCAGCGCGCATAAGAGGTTCCGGAAAATCAATGCTTGCGAAAGGTGAGGAGTGAGTGGGCTAGCAACCTAGATGCAAGTGGATCTGTGTTTGGGAATGTATTCAGGATAACTCTGCTATCGAATCGGATTCAGTTCAAGAGGCTTCGCTGGGTGGGACACGTGTTTCGCACGCTCATTTGTCATTGACTGCACCGTGCGCCATTCCTGCAGCCTCTCCGGGCTATGTGGAAGTCAACAGATGAAGTGGAGACGATACATAAAGAAATGCACAGAGCTATTAGCATAATAGGTGTCTCGCCTACCAGGTCGGGGTCCGGAACACTAACTGGTTGGTTGGAGTCATTGAAGGATATGGCAGCAGACCAACGGCAGTGGCGCTCTTGTTTCCACTTCTTTCAATGTCAGAATGCTTGAGACGTTATGTATGCGAAGTTGCGTATCTGTGTCGACCAAAAAGGTTCAAGTTTTTCCTCCCCCCTCAAAATAGGCCACACCTATCCATGTTACACACTCATTTAGTTTAGCCACGATTGGTGAAGTTTCTTTCACTGTGCTTCGCTGAATGATTATATTGAAGCCACTTTATACCCCATTGCCCCCCCCCCCCCAGTCAGAGAGGACCACCTTTGTTATGATTCCATCCCCGATGGGTAACAAGATGGTATACAAAAACTAACGAGGCATCATCTTATCAGACGTAGTTGTAAAAGCTTTCGACTAGCTCATGCTGAATAGCTTTGCTGCGGCTAAGTAACCATGCACTTGGTCCAACCAAGGAAACTTTCGACTCGGAAAAAAATGCATCGATGGAATTTGAATCCTGGAATACTGACACAATTTGAGCGCCTCATCGCTGTCTACTTCTTGAATGATAGCGCTACATTGAGCCCAGTAGACTGTGAATCACTGTGACAGATAAGGATTACGGATGGCGTTCCAGTTGACCTGGTTAGTGTGATAAACTTCTATTATGTCAGAACAAAGGCCTAAGGCGAAGAGTCTCATCCCTTCAAACTGAGATCAGGAATATGACAAGGGTGACCGCTATTTCCAGTATTGTTAAACTTTGCTGTCGACGGGGTTATTCATTAAGGAATGGAGGGCTACCAAGATGCTCGAAGTTCCAGACTTACGTCGCAGGCCATGCATATGCCAATAACAGTAGTATTTCAAGATAACCTAACCGTTTCAAACAAAGCAACAGGGTGGTGAGCAAGCTCGTTTTCAGTGATTCGTATTCATGCCAATACATCACGATAGATATCATTACTTGGGAATAAAATAAAATCACATCACAGATTACTAGAAACGATTTCATCATGAGACCGGAAACCCGATTCATCACTGTGACCGCATCAAAAGGCATACTTCGAAGATCGTCTTAGATATTATTCACAACAAAAGCAAAACGATCATCTCCGTAGTTCAGCGGAAAGTCTTCGTCAACTAAAAGATTGAACGATAGCTCAGTTAGACCTAAACTAGCTCGAGTTATTCATTCCGCCCAACAGAGAAACCGCGAGTGGCATATTTATACAGCTCGAACGGCTTTTCTACAACTCCAAACAACTCTCTTGCGCCGAAAAAGGATCAGTCTCGAAACCAAGCTCAAGGTTTTTCTACAAAAGTATGCTTATTATAGCTGATCATTGAGAACTGAGGGCGTAAAAAGGTTCGTCTTCGATCACTCGTAATTCAGATCGGTCTTGAGTAAACTGGTCTGACTGAATCACTAACGAGAGCCATAGAATCCGCTGCTGACTTGCACATCTATCAATGCGCCTACAATAGTTGAAAACCGTGTACGACTGATGACACTCGCCAACAAGGGAAACGAACTGCATCGAAATATGCAAAGTGATTGCGACAGGAATGCGCAGTGATGACTATGCGTTAAGGAAGCCGACTTATCCTCATCAAGAAGCCATTTGTAATGAAGAAATACAAGAACAATATTTAGAGACTTAATGAGGATTCGACTTCATTCAGTTCAATATCACATCCTTCTCAACGGGCCATCATAAAATTTGTAATTGTAAGTTTTACGACTGAAGTCGACGGTGACGCACACTGCCCACACGACCAGAATATAAGCAAAAGTCAAAAATAGCAGATAGCTCTGCGAAACATTCGGATAATGATTATCTGTTTAATATCAGGTTTATTTTATTCAAGAAACTAACTTTTTCCGTCTGATGGATATTAGTGTGCTTCTTCATCCATTCTTCAGTTTCTCCCAAAACTTCTTTCAATTGATCCAACAAAGGCTGGAATTTGTTAAATCCCGTGATTTGATCCATTGCGCTATTTCGAACTTGAAATATTCGATGAATCTCATTCTCCACTTCTTCTAATTGTTGTTTCTTTTCCGACATCATTCTGGGTATGGACTCGATGTCATGCAATAAACGGTCGTTACACGCCTCAAACTCCTTCTTGAGTAGAACAATTTCATCCCTTAATGTCTCACTCTGAAATGAGAATGAAAATTGTGGGAAATATCAACTGTTACGAATATAATACTGGGCACAGGAATCACGACTTCTGAACTGGACGCCAATATGCGAATTATCGCTCATGTTCGTGGAGCATTCGATAGTTCTGTCTTTTGTTCACATCCCATTAAAAAATTCCATCATTTGCGATGTTCACAACTGTAATCGACCTGCACGACATTGATACAGTAATATCGGGTTTAACTTGCATCAAAACTTCTACTTCTTCATTTTCATTGCGCTGGAAAAGATGACTTCAAACAGATTGCACCCAACTAATCCTTCACTTGACGACAGGATGTGTATTTCGAGAAAAACTGAAAAACTTCGAATAAATCGACCCAAATGAGGATCGAGTCCGACCTCAAAGGTAGAAGGCGAGCATCCCACGCAGTTGATCAACGGGCAGTTAATCGGATCGCTTTTAATTTTGCTCATAAAGCGCACAGTTTTTAACCGAAATGTAAGCTTGCAAAAGTCATACAAACACAAATATAGCTCCCCTCCCACCCACATTTGAGTTTAATGCGCATCTCAGCACTATTCTTCAGGATTACTAATCGGTTAAGAACACTCCCCACCGCTAGTGACACCCGATCAGGTCGAAACAGCTGCCCAATACTTCCCGGCTTTTGAGCTCACGCTGTTTGCTTTGTGCACGACGAGGTTCATCACGTAATCAAGTCATTTCCTTTCTTACTTTTGTGTAGCAAGTAATCGGGTTTGAAACTCTTCCAACCGAGTCATAACCCTGGAGTTTACTGATGAGATGCGCGAAGAGTAAACTTGTATTAGGCTCGTTAAGATTTGAAGTTCGATGGGATAAAGGCGAAATGAAAGCTGTTTGGTCAGCTGAAGTGATTAAGTGAGTAATATTCTTGCATTCTACCAACGAGGTCCCGGGTTCGATCATCATTTGGGTCGATGAATTCGCACTGATGATAAGAATCAACAGGTTTAAACAGCTGTCGAGTGGTTTTTAGCCTTATATTTGTATGTGAATGAAGAAATAAATATAACGTTACTAGACGCAAGAAATTCACTCGCGATTTTCTAAATCAACCAAGGCATTCGACCTGCCGCTGGAAATGCCGGCCCATAGGAGTGACTGACTGTTCTTAACCCGCTCTCTTTTGAATACACGAATTCCGCTGAATTAGCAGAAGGGTGTAGTGGATTATTCAACTCACTGGAGTGATACTTGTCTCAAGAAAAAATTAATGAGATGCACTGGAAGCTCGGGAAGCCCAGAGAGTAGTCCCAACTTTCAATGCTATCATCAAAGTGGTTCTATGGGCCCATCTGAAGATCGACAGTTAATGCTCATTCTGCGAGTACAGAAGAAAATTAGGACCGCTCTTTCTACTCATCTAATCAATCGAATTTCAAAACGTGGCAAAACTCGTTCATGAAGTTGGCGAACGCTAACTGGCGTTTGGAACTCGAGGTATTCCAAACAGCAAACTGCATACAAATATGATCTTGGACGATTGCGTGAACATAGAAGCAGAGTATATTCGAAAGTACACAAATACATAAATAAATTTATGTTCTAACTTGTTCAGATTGTTTTGCACTGTAGTTATAACTTCTGTAGGCATAAAGCCTATATTTCAGTCAAAAGTATACACATTAGAGGGAGGGGGGAAAGGTTGTCCCGAAAATTCTAACAAATTCTGTTTAACCTGCTCCTTATAAACTAGAATACGTGCTAAAGAGAGTACGGTACAGTTACGATATAAGCGTATGTGAAAGGGAACACAACGATATTGGGATCTAGTTGGCAGATGAGAACGCTAGAAAAATATCTCTGTGTAGTGGATGTGTGGAACCCACAATAATTTTATATGCAAAATTCTCACATGCATTCAGATGACTTTCCCACAGACTAGGTATCAATTCCTTCAGCGGTACTGAAGAGACACGTCTAACAAAAGTCAATCCACGTCAGTATGGTTTTAAGTCTTTCTCTGGATAGGTAAACAGACGAACAATGAAATAAAACTGAGAAAACACGGGCAAACGAACTTAGAGATAGTCGATTGTTAAATTCGGAACTGATAATATTATTGGATACGGAAAGAAAGTCTTTTAAGTTTAGTGAAGATATGTTGAGAGACCAGATAAGTCGCTGATATATGTTGGCAAACTGAAGAGCGCCATATGGAACTTCAAGAGAGAACTGAATGCGTATAGGGACAATATGTTCTGATGGTTTAGGACAGACCGAAGTTTGGTTAGAACGGTTCAGTTTAACAATTTAGGAATGAGAACAACTGACACCGATTTCCAACAGTCCGGTATAAAGCAAGTGCTTAAGTATTTAAAAATGATGCCAATATTCCACCAAGAGATTAGGTTCCATATTGGAAAAGAGAAGATGAAAGACCATCGGGGTCAACATTGGATGTGGTTTTTATGATGAGCAAAAGCTCGAGTTTTCTCTTTTGAAACGGCCTCTGCTTGAACGGCATCATTCAGAACAATTTTTATTACACACCAGTGTGTGATGAACAACAGTCGGGGCGGACCCCATAGTCACGAAGACCTACTGTTCAGTGATGGTAACCGGTAACCTAAGCCTAAGGACTTGGAGTGACCAACCAAATAAGGCCCCGCTAGCTTAAGCGTGGAGTTGAACCGAATGACAGCAAAGCCACCCACTACGTGATGACATCTTTTCACAGGCAGATGAATGGCTGCGTTAACACTGTCCAAATCCGTTGTACAATCCGGAATTTAGGCTTTCATCCCACAAAACAATTTGATACCTTGCCAAATTCGCTTACATTGCAGAAGTTGGGAGGCTTATAACACGATCAGCTTTGATCGGGTTGGAATAATACTTGACAGCCTGAGTCTCTAGGCTTGTACGATTGTTCTTTCTGTCTTCTGAATGACTTCATTAGAAGAGATACTTGGAATATACCAGCGACACACATTGAATGAGAAATGCAATTTAGCGAAGAAGCTTTTTTCGGTGACGCATCAACTGGCTAATACCTCGTATTTTATATCACATCATTTCGTATAGAAACGAGGATACAAAATTAATGATTATTGAAATGGGGATTGTTGTTGTTGTTTTCTGTCTCAATTTCACAAAACTGGATATGGCTGATCCATCGGAACTTACGCTTGGTCCGAGTTACTTGTGTGATTCGGGAGACTTGAGGATATTATTCTGCCGTTACAAAGAAATAGAGTTTCAAAAGGGTGACACAAGTTAAAAAAAACGACTCTTATGAAAACCTTAAGAAGAGGAATGTTTCTGGAAGAGACAGAGAGATTACGAAGGTGAATAGTGCTTTAGTTGATTTTTGTAAGTGTACTGTGCATGAAACGGGAGAACATTGTGGGTTATATGAGAAGTAAAGCGTGATCATTAGTGCATACAAATACCGTGAGTTTTAAGCCTAAATGCATCGAGTGATTAGTAATTACTTACTCTGAAAATGAATCACATCTTGTGGGGTACAGATAAACAAATAAGGTCAAGAAGTTAGGAGATGTGTGGATGCGTGAGTGAAGTCAGCAATAACAAAGTGGAGACTGTCGTCTAACAGGGCAACGAGACACGGTGTAAATGCATCAAAGGAGGAAGAATGAGGCTTGGTACCAAAGGGGCTATACAGGAATTGGTTAAAATAGCGCTTCAATATATTGTGAAAATCTAGGGAAACAGTGAATGGCTAAACGATCGATGTCACTGGCGGTATATTCAAAAATCAACTTCAGATTTACCACTCCAAAAAAGAGTTCAAGAGGGTGATCACTCCAACTTCTATTTTCTTCTTAGTGCTTTCTGACCGTACGGAAGCATTTAAAATCACTGGTTCCAAATAATGAGTCCGCCACATTTTGTTGAAGCCAGTATTGTTGTATGCAACGACACATGGGTTGCTAGCGTTGCCTGCTCTTCAAGGTGATTGTTTGAAGGCCTGCAAAAAGGGGGATTTACATTCGCAACTATTGCGTTTCATGATACTGCAGCCGCAGACATATGTGCCATCATCCAAGGGAGGAACAATCATCCTATCGGAATAAGCGATACCGGTTAGTCAGCATAGCCGCTACCTGTGGTTAACGAGTTGACTCCAGTTACGGTCAAAATGTACTATGTAATGAGATGTCCAGTGAAAGGGAAAGCAATCTTTGCGTTGGTAAGTACACATGAAAGGACTAATGATAAGCTACTTGATTTTTTTATTTCACCTAGAAAAACCAAGTAACAAAAATACCTGTTTCTTGGCATTTGCACTTTCAGTCTTCATCAGACTGATTTGAGCCTCTGCTTCGTTTGATAATTTCTGAATTTCTCTGCTGCTCACAGTGATTTCCTCCACATGGCGAGTCAACTGATCGACTGTTGACTGCTTTGCACGCCGTTCCACACGCAAGGCGGTAAGTTGCTTTTCCTTTTCAGCTACAACTTCAAGGAGTTCCGCGTACCTGGTTTTGGCTGTTCGCATTTCCATCAAGAGCTAAATAAAATGCATTCAAATATACTTGGATCGTACCTCTCCACCTAACTGGAAATTTGACCGGCTTTCAATAAAAGAAATCAAACAGGACAGGAACGGAAGCCACTTTTTACGATCGCGTTCTTCTCCGAAGTCGCTAATACGAAAAGGAGAGTGAAACTGAACATCCTCGACCAATTTGTTCACTAATTGAATCAAGTAAATCCTTCGAAAAGGAACAGATGGCATATCAAATGCAATGGTCGCTAGCTGCCAAACAATTTCGTCCAAGGTATCAGCTGAAATACAATTGGTCTAAGTAAACAATATTATTGTACCTCGCGTCACGCGTTCCACTGAGTCTATGTCTTTTCCCGTGAGTCTGGAGATTGACCGAATAATCTCTTCAACCGATAAGGCTGAAACCAAAAAGCTTCAAATATGAGACGAGCACGTTTACCTTCGATGGAATACATTTTCTCCGGTAGGGTATTTGTACCTGAAAAGGCAAAACTGCTATGCGGATGAAAATAGTTAAGAAACGTAACGTGGCTACAGTATATATATATATATATATGCGTGTTGGATCCACCAGATTTTGTGGTTTCTGAGTAGTGGTGACGTCACGTCGCTTTATTATTCAAATTGCCTGCCAGGTATGATCGACGGGCGTCAAGAAGGCTCTAAGACTCAGTGGAAATCCAGTGTCACGATACGTGTCAGACCACAACTAAGCCAGTAGAATGCGGAGCATTCTTGATAACCAACCACTGCTCACTGGTGTTACCAGGTGGGGTTGGTTCCAGTTAAAGCGTTTTGAAACACAAGTAGGCTGGTTTGGACAGCACGTCCCTGTATGACGGACGCTGTTGTGAGCTTTGAACGCTCATCGAACAACATGGCTCAGTGCAAAAATAATGCGTGGTCGGATTCGAGGAAAATGTTCCAGTACGATCGACAGACAGCAATGCAATATTTATATTTCACATTTCTTTCCAAATGGACAGCCAAAAGACATCAACGAAAACTGGCGCACGAAAGTGCATGGTTAATGGTTGTAAGAACTGAACAGCGGGTCCTCGTGACTATGGCATTTACCCCGTCTGTTGTTTATCACACACAAGTGTGTAATAAGAAGAACTGAACTGAGCAAAACTGTGAATAGCTTGTACCGTTTTATCGGAGATGGTTTCATTAAGTGGAGTATTATATTATTATATTCCACACTTGTCTGAGGACAGACTATGCCAAGAAAATCATGATACGATAACCTTTATAAAAAGAAAATGTTCCATGATTGGCTTGTGGCACGAATACTGCCAGGTTGCCCAGACCAAGGCAAGTGAATTTTCTTGAGAAATCCAAAACTGGAGCCTCCGGCTAGACAAAGCCTGACCCGCAAGGCAGCGGGGCGATGTGCGAAAACCGCACTCCGTTGGGAGCTGGTGTCCAGTTCATCGGATCATACGCCCTTCGGACGGGGCCAAACGTCCAAGGTGCCCAATCGAGCTGGTGACCATTGTCACAACCGAAAAGGTGTGGGTGTGATTCGTACACCTCCTCTTGGTTGGTATGAATTCAGGGTTTCCAGCCAAGTGCCCTAGGTGAACTGGCAGTGGTTCACCAACCCGGTTATG